CCCAGCTCACAGCAGCGCAGCTCGGCTATGGCTGCCTGCTCCTTCCAGCTCGCCCGTGAGCGCGTGAGCGCTGGTCAGCTTCAGCGCAGCAGCGCGTGCACAGCATGCGGCCAGCACCCAAATGTCCAATGCAGAGGCAGGCCCTTTGATATATGGAAGTGGCCTGCCTGCGTTCTGTCCCAGCCTGCACTGGGCCTTTCCAAAGAAGCTTTCGGTAGGCCCCGGTAGGCTGAGGCCCAGTCCAAACAACTCAGGCCCTGGGCCTGTGGTGGTTGCTTGCGTTCAACTGTCATCGGCCTGTGTCTGGCCCACATCCTGTATCCAGCCCAGGGCCTGCCTTTGATTCATGAAAACAGGCGACCCAGGGCCTAGGTTCTCTCAACCAACCGGCGCTGCGCAACTGCCTGAATTCCCTTAGTTGCGTGGTGGCCAAAATTCAGGGCCCTCGGGCCCTGGTCGAGCCTGCCTTCACTTAGGGCGGCCGACGAGCTGCTTGGCAGGGCCTGAAAGGGGCACATTGGGGTTTAGCCTTGCAAATTAGTGAGTGGGCAAGCAAGTTTTGACACCACCATCTTTGCCGATTTTTTTTTTTTTTGGGCTGACAAGAATAGCTTCAAAATTAATAGGGACATACCTTACATCTGCAAGGAAGATGAGCGATAGCGAACTTCAGCAATAAAATACACATAAGACCAGATAGTCGTGACCTCGAACCAATAGCAGAATTGCATCACGAGTTTCACCAAATAAGAGCACACCAAAAGCTTACAATTGACAATGCTGGAATAGTTTCATCATCATCATCAACGACGAACCAATGTTGATATCCTATCTGGCGCTCGGCGCCCAGACTACAGATGGCAGATCCTATCTAGCCTAGACTACAATGCCGAAGATGATGACAACAGCTCTCCCGAAGTCCGAGCAGATAGCGGACAATGTCGTACGCTTCCAGCACCAGGTATGTCTCTCGCATCACTCACGACCTCGTTCCCCGACACACAGATGCCACATGCACCCAAGGACCACCCTGCGCCACACCCAGCTCCCCGCAGCGCAGCTCGGCTATGGCTGCCTGCTCCTTCCAGCTCGCCCGTGAGCGCATGAGCGCTGGCCAGCTTCAGCGCAGCATGCAGCCAGCACCCGAATATCCAATGCGTAGGCAGGCCCTTCCCTATATCGAAGTGGCCTGCGGCTGCATGCTGTGCTGCGGTATCTGGACCTAGCTTCCGGTAGGCCAAGGGAGGCTGAGCCTCAGTCCGAAGTCAACAGGCCCAGGGCCTGTGTTGGTTACCCGCACCCAACTGCCCTCAGCCTCTGTTCGGTTCACTTGTGTATCCGGCCCAGGGCCTGCCTCAGTTACATGCAATGCAAGGCAGCCTGGGCCTGGGCACTTCCAACCAACTGGCACTGCGCAACTGCCTGAATTTCCCCCAGTTGCGTAGTAGTCCAAAATAGGCCTCCTGAGGTCTGTCGAGCCTGCCTTCACTTAGGGCGGCCGACGCTTGTTGCAAATATGGGCCCAGTAGGGCTTATCAAGGCATTGTGCCTCGCACATCACAAAGAACTCGCAAAAAAAAAATTCAGAAAAAAAAAAAAATATTTAGGTGCCAAAATATTTTTTTGCAGGGTCTGAACCCCTTCAGGTTCGGGGGTTCGGACCCCGTACGGGGACCCGAACGCCCCAACGTTTGGGGGTCAGCGTAGGGGCCTCCGTACGTTCGGCCTCGCAACCCTGTATATATGTAGTCAAACAGAGCTGTCCGGTAAACCATGGGCAGAGAGGGAGAAGAGTACAACAAACGAGGGGCTATATATGGGGGTGTAGGGTTTGCAAGACCCTACAACCCCTTTCTTCTTGTGAATTTAACTTGATTTACCTTACACAGCTCGGCTATGGCCCTTTCCTATATCGAAGTGGCCTGCCTGCGTCCAGTCCCAGGAAGCTTCCAGTAGGCCCCGGTAGCCTGAGGCCCAGTACAATCGAGAACAAGCCTGGGGCCTGCGGTAGTTGCATGTGCCCAACTGCCTTTGGCAAGTGTGTGGCCCAGTACCCGTATCCAGCCCAGGGCCTGCTTTCCATTCATTCACACAGGCGGCCCAGGGCCTGGGTTTCCTCAACCAACTGGCACTGCGCAACTGCCTGAATTTCCTTAGTTGCGCAGAGGCCGAAATAAGGCCCTGAAGGCCTCGTCGTGCCTGCCTTCACTTAGGGCGGCCGACGGGCTGTAAGAGAGCGGCCGAAAGGGGCTCATAGAGGCAGTGGCCTCGCATTCCCTCCTCCTTAGCTTCAGCAGTCCTCTGAGAAGCTCAATCTTCGACCATCGGGCGCTTTCCTTTCTGCAGAGATTCTCATAATGAGCTACAACTTGAGGAGCGGTCTGCACGAGTTCTTCCCTCGTGAACCAGCGGTCCTCCTTGGGATCAGTAACCGAACGCGGTACTGCAGCTTCGGTTTCGAAGGACGTCCCCTGCCTGTAGGTCTCTGAACTGCCAGCTCCGTGTGATCCACGATGTCATCAATGTCCACTTCTCCGTCCATGGTTGGGGGCAGCATTGAGCGACGAGAAGGAAACTCATCTGTTTCCTTGAAAGGTGCAAGCTTGGAGGCGTGAAAGACAAGGTAAGTTCGGAGATGACCAGGGATCCGGATAACATAAGATGGCCCATCCGGATCTGTCCCAACGATGTCCAAGACTTCCCAGGGTCCAAAGTACTGGGGCATGAGTTTGCAGGTGCTCCTGTCCCAGTTCTGAAGACTTAACCCAGACTCTATCCCCAACCTGAAATGTAGAAGGACGGCGGTGTCTATTTTCAGACTCTATCATTGCAGCCTGTGCCTTCTGCATCTGTTCTACAGCCTGCTGCATCTTCTGTTCATACCGATAAGCAAATTCTAAGGTACCTGGTGCAGCAGTGGTCTGATTCTCAGGAAGAAGAAAGTCTAAGGGCAGTCTAGGCTTGAAAGTTAGCTGTAAGCTGTTTGGGCTCACCCCGGTGGCACTGTGTACAGCGTTGTTGTACAAGCTGGCGATGAGAGCAAGCTTCTCATCCCAATCCACCTGATTGGGCTTGATGTAATGCCTCAACAGGTGTTGAACAGCACGGTTCAGTCGCTCGGCTTGGCCATTGGACTCTAGGTGATTCCCAGAAGTCATTTGCAACTGGGTCCCCTGTTCCGCAGCAGCGGCTTTCCACAACTCAATGGTAAATCGGACATCCCTGTCACTCACTATGGATTTGGGCAACCCAAAATCTCTAACCAAATTCTATTTGAACATCTCAATGACATACTCTGTTTTAGTTGTTGCCGGCATTGCTACTAATCTAGCAAACTTACTAAATCTATCCACAATGACGTAGATATAGGGCATTCCACTCTTGTTGGTGATCAGAGTATCCATGAAATCCATGGACAGACTCTCACCAGGCCTGTCCGGAATCGGAAGCGGCTTCAAGAGCCCAAGAGGGACCTGTGTACGTGGCTTGTCTCTCTGACAAACTTGACACGTCTCCACGTACAGCTGAGCATCTCACATCATCGTGGGCCACCACGCAAAGACTCGCTATTAGGGACACACAATCGTTTTTTCCCTGGCTTCTCAAGGAACAGCAAGTCATTGACCAATTCAAACATGAACTGGTCCTCGCCATAGGCTTCCACCAAGGACTGAGTGACATTGTCCGTCATATCGCACTTAGTAATCAGCGCACCTGAGAAATCAGGTCTACGCGACAAGGCATCAGCAACCTTATTGTACTCCCCTTTCAGATACTGAAGGTCAAAGTCATATTGCTCAATGACTTCGATCCAACGCTTGAGAGCGTTAGAGAGCACCGGCTGAGTTCTCATCCATCTCAGGGTCTGACGATCAGTCCTGAGGATGAAGAACCTCCCAAGGAGAGAGTGCCTCCAATGGGTCAGAGCCTTGTACACCGCATAGAGTTCCTTCTCATAGGTGGACTTAGCCAACTTCTGAGACGGCATTTTCTTGGACATGTACTCCACAAGCCTCAACTTTGGCCCCTCCTGCTGCGCGAGCACGGCGCCAATGCCATATTGGCTGGCATCCGTGGTGACAATAAACGGCTTATCAGGATCAGGAAGTTTCAAGACCTCATAGTGCGTCAACGCATGCTTCAGATGTCTGAAAGCAACCTCGCACTCATCTGTCCATTCCCATGGGGTGTCAAGGCGGGTCAGATAAGTCAAAGGAGCGGCCACTATGCTATAGTTCTTAACGAAAGTCCCATAGTAGCCTGTCATTCCTAAGAAAGATCTCATCTCAGTCACAGACTGAGGACGTGGCCAATCACGAATGCTGGCCACCTTCGCGTCATCGGGCTTCAACCTTTCCGCGGATATCTCATGACCCAGGTACAAGACCAAGTGCGGCCAAACTCGCACTTCTCACCGTTGATCTTGAACTTGTGTTGTCGCAAGAGACTGAGGACTTTTTCCAAATGTGCAACGTGCTCCTCGACAGTCTTACTAAGTATGCCATCGAGGTATACGATGACAAACTCATCCAAGCAGTCGTGGAATATCCGATTCATAGCGTGCTGAAAGGTGCCAAGAGCATTGCAAAGGCCGAAAGGCATCACCACAAACTCGTACAGACCGTACCTGGTCTGAAAGGCGGTTTTGTGTTGATCCTCGGGCCGGATTGCAATCTGATGGTACCCAGACTTCATGATCTATCTTACTGAAGTACAGACACCCTTGCACTCCATCTAGCAAATCATCGATGCACGGTAGGGGCTCTCTGTTCTTTACATGGCATCGAAGCCCCTATAGTCAATGCACATCCTAAGTGTACCCTCCTCCTTCTTATGTACGAATAGTACTGGACATCCATAAGGAGAGACACTCAGCCGAATCCAACCCTCCTCTACGAGTTCCTTGAGTTATCGGCGAAGCTCTTCAAGCTCGCATGGAGTCATCCGAAAGATCCTACCCTTCGGGATACTAGACCCTGGGATAATCTCTATCGCGTGGACGACCTCCCTCTCTACAACCCCTGTCGGCTCTTCAAATAGATCAGGGTACTTGGCAACTACTCTAAAAGGGCCTTTACCTCGATGTAGGCCTCAGGCCTTGTAAAAGTAAAGCAGCATGAAAGGGTATCTCGCTAGGGCTCAGAAACGTGAAAGCAGGTCAAGGGTCAAATTCTCTATCAACGGGCACATCAAAATCTGAAGCAAAAGGGCATTGTCAATAGACTTACCTGTTCACCAGAAGATGTGCATGACATTTCTGTTCGGGTAAGGGTGTGTCTGTACGTGCAGACAGTGTACCTGTTTGTGCAAAGAAGAGTGTCTGTTCGGCAGTATGTGTGTCTGTTCGTCTA